TTTATCCTTCATTTTCTTATTCTCAGTATTCCACATCCTTGTTGTCAGTTTTCTCTATTTATTTTATGTGAATATCTCAAAATTCAAAATTTTGGTTTCATTTTAAGTTTATTTTTCGTTTCAAATCAAAATATCATGACAATACATATTCAATCAAGTAGACTTATATTTTAAAGGATTTACAAATTTGTAAACAAGGTAAATTACAGTACATGTAATTTTACAATTTTTTAACTATGTAGTGTGTAAATTTACATGCAAACTGTGAAATTACATTAAACTCGAAAAGAATTTACAGAATATCCTACAAACATTCTAATGTAAATTCACATTTACCTATTTAAAATGTAATTTTGTGCGATGTACTTTAACGTCTTGCTCCATCTAAAGTCTTAGATAGGAAGCATGTTTATCTCGCGGAATACGTTTGAATTACATTAAGTATGTAATTTTACATTTTTAGAACTAGTATGTAAATTTACATAGATTTTTTACGGCAAATTATAAGTAATACAATTTTACAAGTATCAAATAAGACAGGATTATTATCGCCTGTATAAAATATAAACGAATTTCTTGTTCGAGTTTATTATTGGTTCCCATAACTCGAAAATTTATTGTCCTTGAATAATTTTTCTTTCGCGTGGTCCTTTCTGTCGCCTCCATTAGTATTTGGGGCATGTTCCGCCCTCAGATTTAAATTTTTAATGCAATTTTTATGTTCCTTAGGCCTCGCGGATTAGGGAAGTTTATGTCTATCCCAAAAACCACCACTGTATTGAGGTCCAATATCGTGCGAGTTCTTCGGGGTTGTGTTTCATTTGTTGCGCTGACTTGATCAGTCACTGTTATCATTACAGTTTTTCTCTCTTGGTAGTTAATACTTTGGTTTAGATCCACGAAATTATTTACTGAATAAAAGCCGTTATCTGCGTCCTAGATCCTATGAAGATTACATCGGGATAATTTCGTATAGCGAAATAAATCCTCATATTTACGGGGTTTATACTTGGTTGTCTTACGAAAAGTCGGAAAGATATATTTACAGCATTAATTACCCTAAGCTTTCCATTTTCTTAAGCAAACCGGTTTCATTATAGTTGCTTGTAGACCCGCTGCTTCTGTCCTTAATCATCCTTACGAGAATTACGCTGACTTTCCATATTTCAGGAAATAATCAGATATGACAACACGCACAACGGCATGTGATACGTATTCCTAGAGATAAACGCGCTTCGTAACTAAGATTTCAGACGGAGCAAGACGTTAAAGTACGTTGCGAAAGGGAATACAGTAAAATTACATTTAAAATGGATAGCTAGGGAATAGGTTGTGGAATTCCATTAACTGAAATGTGAAGTTACAGCTAGATTATTAGAGATGTTTGTAGGATATTCTGTAAACTATTCTCGAGTTTAATGTAAGTTCATATTTTGGAAATTTAGCAAATTTATATACGATTATCCAAAAAGATATAATTTTATTGTAAAATTGCAACTGTAATTATAACGAATATTACAAAAAAAATACAATAAAATTGTATTAGGCTTAGAAAAAAGTATTGTTTCACTATAAATGTTCAACCTAATGGAATTTATATTTGTATAATTACATTTAGATGTACAATAATTGCAAAAAATTCAATTACGTAGACGTCTACATCCATTGTTAATTTTTAATCTAATAGGATTTAATTACATTACATACAATTATGATCTACCCCTGCATCTTCTAGGTAATGAGACTTATAAATGTAATACAGGATAATTACATTATATCTGTAACATTTAATAGTTATTTACTGTATAGCATTTTACCTACGCAAGAACATAGTTCGAGCGTTTAATATTCTTAAGTGGATAAAAGGCTGTTAAAACACAAATGCAATACGTTTTATCCATAAAAATGCAAGAAAGTAATTGTGTTGTACGATATTCAGGGATGAAGCAACTATTGAAGGTACCTTCTTTATTCAAATTTTAAAAAATACGATAGCACGACTTCTTCATTTATTGTCATTACTCTCCTTGTTTTCCTCCTTTCTTTAAATTTTTTAAAATAGGTTTTAAATGTCTCAGTAATGGTTAACTTTGATCGGCTATAACTACGCAACTAATTGACCAATCGATTTGTTTTTTCTAAGAGCGTCTTTCCAATAACTTTTAAAACTTGCTTTAAAAAATTTGATTTGATTGAATATTCGCAAAGTTATTCTAATTGTTTATAAGTACAAAAATTCGACCAATGTTTAAAGAAGCGCCAGAGCTCTCCTAATTCACGGTTCGAATTTTTCAAAAAGCGTTTATAATCTGAGAGCCCTTCTATATGTGATTAAATTTTCAAGTATCTAAGGGCCTTGGTTTCTGCTGAGCAAAATTTTGAAAATTTGCAATTTTTTTTTCAAAATCTGGATTGCAAAATTATTATGCAAAATTTATCAAACCGATTTTGATGAAATTCTACATAACATGAAATTTTCTTGAACCAAGTATGTAGGTCCTATACCCAATCTAAAGACCCCAAAAAAAAATCCCTAAAAATTAATGTTTTTTAACCCCATTTTTGGCGATTTTTTCGATTTTTACAATAATCATGATTCATTCGATTTGTAACCAGTCAATTTTGTAAAAAAATTAATTACAAGCATTTTTTTCCTTTTTCATTTTCGCCTAAAATCAACTCTTGAAAAGATACATAGTAATTAAATAGGAAGAAAAATATGACATTTTTCGAATTTATTTAACATATTGTGCCGCCAAAAGTTAAGCCCACGTTTTTTTTATGCGCATAGAAAAATTTTCATTTCTAGTGAAATTTGAAAGCCAAAAAGCCGAAAATCTCCGCGTGGGTATACGATTCACCCAAACCAAAACAAAACAAATATCGCTTTAATTCGTATAGCTTCCGTGAATATACCGACCGACAGGCCACTAGAACAAATCGCAATTAAGTATTCCCAATTTTATAACAAGATCTGCCTACCGCTATCCAAGTAAGAAAAAAAATACGTTAAATTCCTAAAAATAATTACCATCCGGTCCTAAATAAATAGACTGGGATGAAGGATGGGGCGCACTTGAGATTTTTCGCGGATTTTTCATCCAGGCAGACAGTGCAGAAGATATTTTTCAATCTTATTTGTTTCCGAGCGCAGCGCCCGCCGTCCCCTTCAGCCGCCGAGCGTAACATTCCTTAATTAAAAGGTGGAATCATCCCGCCGACCGGATAAACAAAATTAATTTCATTTTGGTTCTCTTTAAACGTGATTAAGCGCCAAAGCCGTTTTAATTAATAATCATTATTTTTCAAAACACCGGAATTTATGGCTTCGCCTTACTTGAAGCCTGCCCGGGGTGGATCCATTGTAAGATGAAATATCGCTAAGGATACGTCGAGGTACGCCCAAGTCGCTGGTAGAACGGATTTAGCCGACTGATTTTTTATATTGTGCTTTCAAGTACCTATTTTTACTTTTTTCGATGTAAATATACACGAGTGTGAATTTACAATGATTAATTTTATCAATCAAGGACGAACACATAATAGGTTTTCATGTAAATTTACATCTTCAACAATTTACATGAATGTAATTTTATATTTAACATTTACAAATTAAACGTGTCTTTTATTTTTAAGTATCTTCAATTTTTCGATGTATTATTACCTTTTACGATGTGAAATTACGTTTTAAATTGTATTTTTCTATAATTGCTGTAGTATATACTCATATAAACGTGAAATATACAAAACAAATCGTTCGGTCTCAACAATTAAATAGTGTAAAATTACACGCTTAATTTAATTCTTCATATATTGTTTCACATCCAGAAGTGAAGTTTGTAACAATTGTAAGTGTAAAATTACAAAGAAATTACATTATACTAATGGAAAAGTGTGTATCCACTATTATTATTACTTATTAAAACAATTATTAATTATGTTGATAAATGTTATAATAAGCGATTTTAATCGAGAAGGGAAGATATTAACAGTTTTGGTGTAAAGTTACAATGGAATTACATTAAACTTACAGAAGTATGTGTTCACTGTAAATTTCAATCTAATGCAATTTATATTTGTATAATTATATTTATGATGCAAAATTACAAAGAAATTACATTATATTTATAGAAAAGTATGTATCCAATGTAAATATTGATTAAATGGAATATAGTCAGGTTTTCTTAGCAGGGGAACATATTTTGAAATTATTACAATTTCTCTAAATATTTTTTTATATATTTGGATACAACCAGAAGAGCTTTTCTCTAGTTACCTTTATTTCACATTGTTTTACTCTCACCTTGAAATTATTTGTATGTATTTTATGTGTTTCTACTATTTCCAAAATGTAAATATACGTAAATTAGTATGAAATTACAGTCAACCTTTTTGATTGCACCAACTAGATTACATGGTGTCATGCAATGTTACGTTGTAAATAAATTACAAGTGTAAAATGTAAAATTACATGTTTAATGTAATTTTACTAATGAAATTATAAATCTGCATGTATTTTTACATTGAAATTGAATAAGAAAAGGTAAAATTACAAACTTAATGTAAATTTACTTGCGTAATGTAATTTTATAAGAATGTATATGGTTCCAAATTAGACAATATTCTAGTACGTCCTCACAGAAAGATGTTGTTGCTGTTGTGTGAACTACAAATTAAAAAAGTAATAAGAAATCTAAATAGTTTTACTAATAACTGACTGTATGAATTATTTATTGTTAATTTTCCTCAGCTGCAGCTTTAAAGTGGTGTTGTTTTTCGAAGGAGTTATTTTTCAAGCCTCTACTTCAAATTTGCTCAATTGGATTCATGTCTGGCGATTAAGGAGGCTAACCCGACAATAAAAATAATGGCAGCATGTAATTTTACATAGAATTTTGTACCGCTTATCAGACAAAGCCTTCTGTTGTCGGGCTGGATCAGCGGCGCACACTTGGGGCTATTGGTATGAACTCGATTTCACTAAAATAGCTTATACTTACGTCGACGTGGAGTCCGGGCAGCGAGAACACTCTGGTGGGCGGCGCCTCTTTGGGCACGTACCTGTAGAACTCGTCGTTGTCGCGGTACCACTTGACCGAATACAGCGGTGCTTCCTCAAGGTCGTACTCGCACCCTAGGGTGACGGAGTGGCCGGCTCGTACTGCCCGCGGCACGTTCAGGCGCATCCCCTTAAGGCTCTTACTGCTGCATATCCCTGTAACGGAAAAATTACAACGCTCAGTACATGGAAATTGAAAAAGTTGGTAGATTGGATTCGAGAAGCAGAACACATTGGCTAAAAATTGCTCACTTACAATTGAAAATGTTGAAATTAATCTGTTAACTCCAGTGGCGTCTCGTGAAAATTAAAATTTAAGTTTTATCTGCAAGTTAATTATAAAAAATAAGTTCACGATTATTAGCAAGTGACAAAATGTCTGACGAAGAACATTCGCCGCGTTCATAAAAAACTTTGCATGAAAGTTGCGACCCCCCTTTAAATACGACTCATGCGGAAGTTTGTTATTTAATATAATGCGTGTGTTTTCCATGGGCGTTCCCTTTTTTTCTGAATCCCATCCCTGCATTCGTGTCGAGGATAAAGGCCAAATGGTAAACATAATAAAAATGGAAATACTAATTTCGCAAATGGATAAGATGTCATATTTTCCGGCGGATTTCTCATATTTTTATTTCTTTTTTTTTGCTTCGCTCGTATTTTAGACTCAAATTGTCTCGGTGATGTAATAAAGACTTCATTTATTTTAAAAGAGGAGGAAGAGAGTAATATTAACCCTTATTTAAGAAAGAAGTATGTACTGTACATCAAAGTAAATAGAAGCCATTTTAATAAAAAAAAGAAAACAACTACTGCGAATGAAAATTGACTCGACTATTAAAATTGTTATAGAATGTTTAGTTCTCATCTTTTGTTTTACAGAGCTGTGGCCTAAGAAATCGTTCAACTCAACTAGGTATCTTTTTAACAAAATTCAAAATTTGTTTAACTGTTTTAAATTAATAAAACGGATTCTAGTTTAAAAAATAATAGGCGCATTCATTAGAAATTTTTTTGCATATTTCAAAAGTTTACATTTTAATTAGTTAGTATGCCAAAAATCAATTTTTTGTTTCAACGAGAAATAAATTAATGAAAACAGAGCGCGGAAAAACGTTGAGCAACCATTGCCTGACGTCATAATACCAGTACAGGCTACTGGCGGAGCACTCTGCTCGCGCTCGCGCTCGCTCTCATCCCATTCTGTGTTAATACATACGGTGTGTGGTTCACTTGGCAGTTTCGTTAATCATTGTTTTTATGTCTAAATGGGTCGAAACCGAGGATTGTACAAATATTGTATAGTTCCAGGCTGCAAAAGTACCTCAGGATCGACTCCGAATAAAATATTTATTTCATTACCGAAAAATGAAAAGTTTTGTGTGATGTTATCCAAGGTTTCCCCAGCCACGGTATGCAACTCAAAACCACCCTCGTTTTTCTTTGGTTGCACGTCTAGGGGGTTGTAAAATATTATTATTTGAACACTTAGAGCACAATTTTCAATTTTTTGCCGGAAAAAAAATTCTGCCCCATCTAAATGTTCGTGTTCACAAAAATTCGAAATACGACGGCGACAGGGACCTATAAGCAGTTAAGAACCACTCTAGTTTTTCTTTGGTTTTCCATCTAGAGGGTTTTAAATATTATTATTTGAACATTTAGAGCAGAATTATAAAATTTATGCTGGAAAAAATTTCTGCCCCATCTAAACGTACCCGTTCACAAAAATTTCGAAATACGTCGGCGAGAGGGACCTATAAGCAACTCAGAACCACCCTCGTTTTTCTTTGGTTGCCCGTCTAAGAGGTTATAAATATTATTATTTAAACATTTAGAGCAGAATTTTCAAATTTATGTCGAAAAAATAAATTCTACCCCATCTAAACGTTCCCGTCCACAAAAATTTCGAAATACGTTGCGAGAGGCACCTATAAGTAATTTATTTAAATAATAATATAGACGGGCAATCAAAGAAAAACGAGGGTGGTTCTGAGTTGCTCGCACATACACGTCGTCGCATACATCCACAAGTACCGAGTCTAGTACGTTGGGTACATTTGTACACAAAATGGAAGGCAAAATTACGTCATTGAGAAAAATCCGAAAATGTATTTAGATATTCCAAGACATTCTATGTTTATAATAAATATGTTGTGTGAAAAATGCATTTCAACAAGACTTGATGTATATCTCTTATACACTTTCTATTTATACACTTAAAAATATAGATATATAATATAGGTAAAAGTATAGCAAATATCTACACATCAGTTTAGACGAGGCAGCCGAAAACAGACTGTCGTCTCTTTCTTAGAAGCCGTATAAAATGAGATTTATCTCTCCGACTGCTGGCGAGTGGCCGGTATCGTGACGTCATTACCTGTTCTCTCGCAGTGTTGACCTTTTTAAGGGTCTTACAAATTCAGAATTAAATATATCACTTATTATTAATCCTATTGACCTAATTTTTTAAAGATATATTTAGGTGGTTAAATACTATCAGAAAATGAAAGAAAAAGTTTAAAATTATATATCACTGAATGGCCTATTATGGCAAAGTTGATATTGCATTATTTAAAATACAAATATGATAAACTGGGTCATAAACACTTTGACGAAGATATTTAATAGTTTTTTTGGCGAATAGTCTAAAAAATGCTTTAATATTTAACATTATTTTTCCTATTTCATATACAGGGTGGTTCAGGTATAATCTGGACACCTTCAGGAATCGATAGAACAGGTTAAAATAATGTTAGATTAATCGGATCACAATGAAAGAAAACTCGCAGTGGTTTGAATTCTCGAGGGTTACTTTGCAATAACTTTGAGTTTAAAACAAAAACGAAAATATCTTTAGTCTGTAAAGTTATCTCAAGTTTAGCGAAAATTCTTAATACACAAATTTGTACCCTTCTTTGAATCAAGTTCGTCACATAGAATTGTTTTCCTGGAGAAAAAAACGATATGAACATCTTATTAAGTTAATTCAAAAAGTGTCCGAAGCGGTATTATTGGCATATTTCGCCCATAAAATTAAAAAATATCATAAAATTTTTAAAACTAATACCATATTTGAAAAACAAATGAGTTTGATACCGTTCGAAAAAGTCCAGAATTCTAACGAAAGTGGAAATTGAGAGATTTTTACAAGAAGCACCTAATAATAGATTTCTGCCAGTAAAGTTTGGCAAAACTTATCATTAACACCCTGTGTAACATTAGGTATTTAAAAAAAGGTGTCTACTAATTGAAATATTTATAAACATTATTAGGAAAAGTTTCTCTTTCTCTGCTTCGACTATTTGCTTGATTTCAAATATTTTCACTTGGTAAATTGCTCTTTCTCTGTGACACAAAAAAAATTAAGAAAAGTTTCTTGGTCGTCCCTTAAAGGCATACCAAGTCGCAACCATACGCTCAAGATGAATACTGCAGCCTCTGACGTATACAGTCGATTTCTCATGAAAACACCGTAGATATAACGTTTCCTGTAAACGAGCTTGCCCGCGGAACAAAGCCAATAATACTTCGGCACTTTATTTAACACATTAGCACCGTCGAAATGGGACAAGTCGGAATTGGGGCAGAACAAACAGCACAGAACTTAATTGCGATACTGGCCAGTAAGGTAAAACTAACAAGTAGATGCAGCGTTCGGTAAACACTGGAACGGGGCACAATTCGGTCTGGATGAGAAAATTAAACTGCATTCCGACTGCGAGTGTGTAGCGAGCTCGATCCGATCTAGATACGAATAGAAAACTATACGTTGTGTCTTCATCGACTCTCGAATTTGTTGTGGTACAGGGTGAATCTTAAGTGTGTACATAAATTAATAGTCACAAAAATTAAGGGGTAAAAAACAATTCTAATTTTTAGGTGAACTTCAAAACGCTTCCCTCTCAAATGGTCCACGGGCTTCAATAATTTTTTTTTGGCAATCCCAACCTGTCAGCTCTTTTAGTTTGATTCATCCTCTTTAATTTAAGCTGCTCCAGGCTTGTATGACGATTTGTGGAAGTCAATGTCGTTTTTCGAACACTGTCATTAAAAGTCGACATTTTCGTTAAGTTTTCAATTAAAAAAGTAAGTCGGATCCGGCCCGCGAAAGATTCAGAAAATTCAAACAACGATATCAGTTCAAATCGATAAATACTATTATTAAGCTTATGCAGTGGAACTCCACAGATCGAGTCAGAAATAGTCGTTAGAAAGAGACAAACAGATAAACATTCCCGTTGCGCTTGAAGCACTCTCGTATTCTAGTTGGTTATTGGGGGTAATATAACGAGCGTTCAAATAAAAACGTGGTCGAAGTTGGCTCTGACACATTGAACGTAGGGAGTAGCTTATAGCGACCAACTTAACCTCATTTCTCAACGAGCTGTATAGCAGCTGTCAGTTTCAATAACGTTCATGACTATATAACTTTATTTTAAAGAATAATCGTGATAACAATAACAAACAATTAAAGGAGCTGAGGAAAGTGTCCCCCTCCTTGTTATAACAATAAATTAAAGCAGCTGCTGAAAGTGTCCCCCTCCTTGTTCCAAGCACTTTTCACACCTGTTCCTCAAAGAATTAAAGACATTTTCTAAGATGCTCGGGGTATTGTTAATTTCACGAATCTTGTCTATAAGTCGAGCCTGCAGATGGTTTAAATCAGGAATAGGCAGTTCAAAAATAGTGTTTTTAAGGTAAGGCCACAAAAAGAAATCACACGGCGTAATATCACATGACCTCGGTGGAAATTC